TTAAATTAATTATTTATAGGAGATAAGTATTATGATCAGTAAATATATGGTATTACTGGCCACTTCAGACACAAAGACGGGATAAAAATAGCCCATCTCCCCCTCTTCTTACAGCTGCCAATGGGAAGCATCTTGGTAATTAAATTTGATGTTTATTTTCATTGTCTAATTTATCATGTATCAAAGTAATATTACTAAAAATTGTGTAGGTAGTAGGCAGCTACCAAACAGGTAGATACTACCGCCTGGGAAGATATTGGAAGCATAATGTGTTGTCTAATGGTAGACCCTGCTGCCATATGGCATCACGAAAATTGTGACCAAGTCCCAGGTTCAGCGCTGACCTGACTTTCTGCCTCATTTACACACAATTGCAGTTTGAATTGTTCCTCTAACTTTGACAACACAACATACATACAGTATATTATTTCTCACTTTTGATCTTTTTTTTACTTTTTGTATTTATTTATGGTTAGTTACTTAAAATAAGGCCAATTCACTTCAAGTAATGGCATCAAATGTTACCAGCTGGTGTAGTGTAAACACTAGTGACGTCACTTAAGCGTCTGTATTTAACTGTCAGTAGTTTCAAGAATTAATGCAGTCATTTACTGAATATTCCTTGTAAAAAAATAAATTTTAAATTAATTATTTATAGGAGATAAGTATTATTATCAGTAAATATACCGATATGCATTACTGACCACCTCCACGGCTAAAAATAGCCCAATCTCGCGGTCACTTTTCCTTTCTTGTCTCCTCACTGGCAAATGGGGGGGGGCGTGGGGAGGGGTGTGTGATGATAGCTGTGTTTATTACAGGGGTATAATTCTCTTTTACGTTATGTTAGACAGGTTTATAATACATTTTTATTATTTTAATATACCGGTAATCTTAATTTGAATCCAGCTTGCCAAACGTAAGTTTCAGTATAAAATAATTAGTGGTAAGACCTTGTGAGTGGCTTACGATGTTTCCATCACCACTCTTGACACACTAAACCACAATATTTAAGAGGTAAGAATTTTATACTTGGTGGTTTAGACGACCCCCTAACTTTGGGCAGATTTTTTTAATGTTCAAATTCCGTCTCATAAGCCGAGATATAAGGTATGTACAAAAGATTTATTATTGTTTATTACTGAATGTCTTTTTTATTGAATTAATGTTTATGTGTGCAAAATGAGCAATACAATTCATTAATAGGTAATACGTAGAATATTAAAACACACGAGGAAATGACACAGCATTGTTTTCGACGATTACAAAACCAGTGACTGACTGGTTCTACATATAAAACTGAAGAAAATAAGACCTTGGTTGTAGCTGTAGTAAAATTAATATGGTTGTTTAAGAAATGTTATTTTATGTTAATAAATGGAACAATAGAAGTAGCTAACGATAATGGTAAAGAAAAAAGAGAGATCACGTATGTAAGTGCGCACACTTGAAAACATATCGTCATTACTCTACATAAGAATATGAAAGCAACACTTATTTACTGCTCATATAAATTGAAGGGTTAAATGTTGTACTCTGTATAGACAAGCAGAGAGAGAGAGAGAGAGAGCAGCCGAACTGCCGGATGTAAACAAACCTTAATTTCCCGCGGCTTTTTTTTTTTTTTAAGGGGATTAGCCCACCCGGGCATAGGTCACTGACCCACATTGGGGCCTGAGGGGCAAAAATTTAATACTCCTGTAATAATAATAATAATTCAGATAAGTAAAAAAACTGCCTATCTACCTATTGGACAAACTAAAATCGTTCTGGACCACGGGAGTTTCCGGACCACAGAATGCCGGACTAGAGAGGTACAACCTGTATAGCATGATTATATTCAAATTAATCTCTATCTTATAAGAATTCCAGCTAGGTAAATTATATTCTCCCTGGTCACTTCTGTGACATTTTATAAACAAAAAACAAAAACTCAATCTAAAGGACATAATTAAACACATAAATACTTCACTAGACCTTCGGCGCCAACTGTCAAACATGTCACTGTCACTTCCTCCCCTCCCTCCTCCTCCTCCCCTCCTCCCTCCCTCCCTCCCCCCAGCCAGGGGTTTGGTGGTTATAGGCTTCAAGTTTTTATCTTATACAATATCACAGACTGAAGTTAGAAGAATATAATTTGCATTTCTGGAATCCTTGCAAGACAGCCAATAATTTGAATATAAACGTCATATATTTTGCACAAGAGAGAAAATTTTTAGCCCTTTGTAATAAAATTAATTAGAACTAAAATTTGTATGTCTAATGCAAACTATAGCATGTATATATTCAAACTAATTACTATCTTGTAAGAATTCCAGCAATGTTAATTACATTTTCCCATGTCAGTTCAGTGACATTTTATAAGAGAAAACTTAGAGTCACTCTTAAGGACAGATAAATAAATAAGCACTAGACCTTGGCATTAACTGTCAAACATATCACCTCACCTTCCCCCCCCCCCATCTTCCCATCAGCTGATCACTAGTAAACAGACCATTTCACATCCCATAATTTTAGCTGTGTTGATTTATGAGTGTTTGTTTAAACATAATACAGGTATCCTACTGTGGAGAGAAACTGCATTTATGGAGCTGGCTTTGCCATCCGCCAACGCATCCTACACAGGCTAACTGAAATGCCTATTAGGATCAATGAGTGCCTCATGATGCTTTGAGTCCCACTGATCACTCGCGTCATGCCTTTTTCATCAGTGCATACGCCCTAACACTGGATGCAGAGGATGACATCAAGGAGGCATTTTATGCCGACCCAGACAGACTGCTAACCTCTATCCCCAGAAAAGATAAGGCTTTGCTTCTTGTTTAGGCAAAGGGTTCGTGACAACACCACTGGCTTTCCATTGACTGAATCATTGTCAGAGAAAGAGATCGCCGAAATGTCCTCATCACCAAAGCCATGCGTGGGTCAGATCACTGCGACACTGATCATGAGCCCGTCAGAGCCAAGCTCTCACATCACATCGCCCCAAAATGGTGAAGGCAGCAAGCCTCCGCAAGAGGTTTTAACACCAAGCGTCTGGAGGATCCAGCAGTTGCACATGCTTTCAGAGAGCAGCTCAAACATGGGCTGATAAACAACCTGACAACAAACAACCCAAATCCCAGTACCGAATGGAATCTTCTCGGCACTGTCATGACAAAAACCTACAGAGAGACCCTCGGCCAGTTCAAAAGAATACACCAGGGCTGCTTTGATGAAAATGACCTGGAAATCAATGTACTCGTCGAAGATAAACCTGCTGCTTTAACTGACTGGCAGAATAGCCCTCAGTCTCGGACCAAAGCGGCGGCTCACCGTGAACCTAGCAAACTAAAGAGTGACTGGTTTAAAAATAAAGCATGTGAAATGCAAAAACTTGCAGATCAACACAAGATGCACAAATTTTTCAATTCCACTAAAGCATTTTATGGGCCAATTACTCATGGCACACCCTCCCTTTGCTCATCCGATGGTAACTCCTTAATTAAAGACAAAGAGGGCACCTGTCAGAACTGGAAAGAGCACTACCATTCACTGGTCAACCAAAACACCAATGTGGATGTCCTGACTACCCAGCAGGTCCCTCAGCATCCAGAGCTGACCCACCTCAGCTATCCTCCATCCCTGGATGAGGTAGCTACTGCCATCAAACAGATGAAAAATAACAAAGCCTCAGGGCCTGATGGAATCCCAGCCAAGGTGTATACAGAAAGAGGATCTCTGCTTACCAGCCATTTCCACTCTCTCCTGGAGAATATATGGGAAAAGGAGGAAATCCCCCTCTTAAAGACGCCTCTATCGTCAATATTTATATGAACAAGGGAGACTGGTCAGACTGGCAACTACCGGCGGATCTCACTGCTGTCCATAGCTGGCATGATTATCTCCCAAGTCCTCCTAAACAGACTTGTTCTTGAGGCGGAAAACTTCCTCCCAGAACCTCAATGTGGCTTTAGACCATCACGTAGCACCACTGCCATGATCTTTGCTGCCCTCCAGATACAGGAAAAGTGCTGAGAACAGCGTTGTGACCTGTACATGGCCTTCATCAACCTAGCCAAGGCCTTTGACTCGGTCAACAGGGAAACCCTCTGGCTGACCCTCAGCCGTTTTGGCTGTCCACCTAATTCATTGCCATTGTGAGCCAACTCCATGATGGCATGAACGACAGTGTGCTGCGCAATGGCACCCAGTCTGAGTTCTTCCCCTTCCAAACGGGGTAAAACATGGATGTGTACTGGCACCAACTCTGTTTTCCATTTTCTTGGCTGCCTTCCTTACTCGTGCCAGTGCCAATCTACCCGGCGGGATGGACATTGAGTACCGGGTGAAGGGGGGTCTTTTCAACATAAGATGACTCCAGGCCGAAACAAAGGTGTTGGCAGCTTCCATTAGTGAACTTCACTATACAGATGACCTTACCCTTGTCACTCACACTGTGCATGTGCACACTTCAGCCTTGAGGTGAATGTAAGGGCTCTAACGAGCGGGATGGTTGTCCGCCGCTCTTTTGCCTGTAGTATCTATGTTAGAGATTTTTCCCACTTTGTGTGAAGTTTTATAGTACCAGTTAGAGCATTTCTTTCTACCAACTCCCTGGCTTCAAATACACATGTTCAGTCTAGTCATCATGGTAATAAAGGAAGGAATGATCCTCAAATCCCATTTTATAAATGAAGACTGGACTGTAAAGTCACAAAGTCAGCTGGCACTGACCTGGGATTGGTCATGAAATCACAAGGTTGCCATTGAAAAGTGATTGGTAAGATTGGCACTGTCTTGTACTCACCTGGTCTGCTTTGAATGGCACTAAGAATTTCAAAGAAGTCTGTTTTTAAGTGTTTTGGTTTGGATGGCATAACTATTCCTGGACTTGTTCCAGCCACTGATATTTTTTTTTTAACTATAGATTTAGTATCAATATTACACGAGTCGCCTAATTCAGTTTTCTGTAAATGAGATATCAAGATCATTCCTATAGTTTTACACTTTTCTCTCAGAGACCTCCAAAACCAGTAATAAAGGAAGAATTACTAGAGGGAGAAAATGATGAAGACCTAAGGAATGATGCCCCAAGGAGATCCAACAGGAGAGCCAGTCTGCCTACAAGGTTAGTATCTTGAGGGTAATGTGTACTGTATTGTTCATGTGTATTTATGGCCTACTTGTCATTTCTCATGGTATGTTGGCCAAGTGGATGGAATACTCTTCTCCTGTCCTAAGGGACACTGGTTTTATTCTGCAGCACCCCTAGTCCACCCAGCTGTATATGGGTACCTAACTACAATTGGAGAAGTGAAGGTGGCAGAGTGAAGTGTCAGGCATATTGCCTCCTTGTGTACCAAAGAGATTGTATAAAGTGTGATGTAGCCACACTGTTCTTAATGGACTAACAGGTGTATGGGACTCCCCTTCATTTTTCAGGCATTTGTCGAGTGACTTGTGAGAGAGATTTTCAGATCTCCGCATGGAAAAGCAAGGATCATTATCACATATGAACTGGTATAGGCCTTAGGAGAGATATCTTGTGCTTATGGTTAATGGGCCCCCATACAACTTCAATCTCAACTAGAATCAATATTAACTTAATATTTTCTTGAATTATTCATTGTAACATTACAGAATCAATGTTATTGTTACAATATTTAATATGTATTCTAGGATCAGTCAGTTATTTCTTAATAAGTAGGCAAGGCATTTACTTGTCAAAGCCCTCCAGGATGAAGCTAAGTTGCTAGCCAAGGCAAAAATGGTGCCACCCTGCTACCCATACATGTCTTGTACAGATTGTAAAGCAAGATTTATCCTCATTTAAACTCCCATCAACAATCTTTTCTGTGTGCATCAATTATTGGGGTACACCTGTACAGTACATGTATTTCCATTTTTTTTTTTACATTGCCGTGTAATGGTGGGAGGCTTGAGGTCCTGTTGATCTGACGATCCACACATGGGGGGGGGGGGCCTAGTTCTCCTTCCTCCTCAAGAAGGAAATGGTTTCCCATACTGGAAAGGTCATCAGGGAGGGATGAGACTAAATGGCTCTCTTGAGCTGTTAGCTTTGAGAGCTGGCTAGGGACATCTTCCCTCTGGCCCAGTCAGCAAGGGCTGGAGAGTAGCACTCCCATATGTTTACAGTGCAGTGGTCCCTCGGTTAACGAGCACAATCCGTTCTAGAAGGTTGCTCGTTAACTGAAAAATTTGTTAACCGAAACCATTGTTTCTATGGGTTTTTGGGTAATTGGTTCCAGCTCACCGAAAATTGCCTAAATTCAACAAAAAAGGTAGAAAAGTGTGTATGTAGAAGGCTCCTGGATGATGATAATGATGTTGATGGGAATTATAATGGGGGTGGAGGACAAGGGAGAAGAGAAGGCATTGGGGTGGAAGAGAAGTCACCCCATGGTGCCATTTCACCCATAAAATTTTAATTCTCTTGGTGTAATTCAAGATTATTTTCTTTAAATCAACACTGCACTGCATTATATATTGTCTATGTAAAATAAATTTCAAAATGACCAATAATTTGCTTGCAAACACAGAAAAAAGCATTTAGTTGAAGAGAGTCTCAAGCAAGATGTTACCTCCACTGAAAGGACACAAAGACTGACGCCTGTATGGTGTATTGAGAGGCTGGATGGCGTGCATAAAACTAGTTTCATTACCTTCAATTATGTTCAATAATTGTTAAAATGACTAAAAAATTTAATATTAAACTTTTAAAATTATTGAATAGTATAAACTTCTTGATATTTGCTAAGATGGTAAGGAATATAAGCCCTAGAACCGATTACTGTATTGGCGGACTAATACTACAGCTGGTGGACCGCCAAATGCAAGCGAAAACATGTTCTGGTCGGCTCGTAAGAAACTCGTTAATCGAGGAATTGCTCGTTAACCGAAGGTAAGAATCTTATGGAAGGTAACTCGTTAACTGAAATCTCGTTAACCGAGGGACCACTGTACATGGCGACCCATAAGGCTGGGAGACATGAATCCTGGAGGTTGTAATCACAGATGAAGATCCTGGAGAGTCTGCTTTAAAGGTACAGGGAAAGTAACATCAATAAATGTTTTTGGGTTATGTTTGCAAGCTCAAATGGTATTTTCTCCCTTTATTAAGAAAATAAACTACAGTGAACCCTCACTTTGCGTGGTCAATTGAACCCACGGAGGCCGCGTAAAGCGAGAAACGCTAAAGTGAACAACATAACATATGGGATTAATTGAAATAGAGACCGGGCCGACCCCCAAACTCCACTTTATCCCGACACAATACCTATGTTCTAGTAAAAATAACATCTTAATTTTATGATGGTACACGCACACAATTAATATTTAAGAGAAATACAGTCGCCAAGTTAATGTCCATTCAAATAATGGACTCAACTCCCCCCCCCCCTCTTCTCACACTCGCTGGCTCTTTCCTCTCTGAGAAATGTTTGGGGGAAAACACTAGATTTTAAGGTATAGTAATAAATAAAAGCTCAAACTAAAGTTAGGATAATATAATTGACATTGCTGGATTCCTTGCAAGACCAGGAATATTTTGAATGTAAATGTCATATATTTTGCACAAAAGATAACATATTTACTCAGAGTAAACAAAATACTTACATTAGATCTAAAATTTGTATGTCTAATGCAAAATCTATGATGTTTATATTCAAAATGATCATCAAATTGTAAGAATTCCAGCAATGTAAATTATATTCTGGCTGGGTAATTTGTATGAATTTTATGAGCTAAAACAAATATCTTCAGTTAATAAAAAAAAAAAAAATATTCTCACGACGCTATCTGTCAATCAAAATACCCCACCTTGCCCCCCCCCCTTCCCACAACGCCAGCTGGGTCGGTCGGCCCCTCCCTTCCCCCCACATTCCCTCCCTACCAGAGAAATGTTTGGGAGAAAACAGAATATTAACCTTTTTAGTAATAAATAATACCTTAGACTAAAGTTAGGATAATATAGTTCACATTGCTGGATTCCTTGCAAGACCAGGAATATTTTGAATATACACGTCATATATTTTGCACAAAAGATAACATATTTGCTCAGAGTAAACAAAGTATTTACAGTAGATCTATAATTTGTATGTCTAATGCAAAATCTATGATGTTTATATTCAAAATGATCATCACATTGTAAGAATTCCAGCAATGTAAATTATATTCTGGCCGGGTAATTTGTATGAATTTTATGAGCTAAAACAAATATCTTCAGTAAATAAACAAAATATACTTGCCCAAATACTATCTGTCAATCAAAATACCCCACCTCCCCCCTCTTCCCACCTCCTCCCTGGGTCCCTCCCTCCCTCCCTCACCCCCACCTTCCCTCCCTACCAGAGAAATGTTTGGGTTATAACAGTATATTTACATTTTTAGTAATAAATAATACCTCAGACTAAAGTTAGGATAATATAATTGACATTGCTGGATTCCTTGCAAGACCAGGAATATTTTGAATATACACATCATATATTTTGCACAAAAGATAAAATATTTGCTCTGAGTAAAGAAAATACTTGCATTAGATCTATAATTTGTATGTCTAATGCAAAATCTATGATGCTTATATTCAAAATGATCATCAAATTGTAAGAATTCCAGCAATGAAAATTATATTTTGGCTGGGTAATTTGTATGAATTTTATGAGCTAAATAAAAAAATTATACTTCACCCGCGTATATGAGTAGATGCACTGCGTAAAGTGGGATTCCGGTTCTGGCACGGTACAGCGTAAATGTAGAAACGTAGAAACGCGTAAAAAAACACCAACCGTGTAAAGCAGGGTATTACTGTATTGCCCACAATAATTAGGATATCACTGTATTTAACACTGAGCATTATTAGGGGTGAAGCGTATTTGTAGCAAGCTTCGTGAACACTTTTGATGTGAATGAGAGACAGATAGGAACTGAAGTAATCAGTGAATAAACTGATGACCCTGCTGGACAGCTGTGCAGTTTTGCTGTGGCAGGATCTACACTCTGATATTGATTAAAGTAAAAAAAAAAAAAGCCATAAGCGGGTGGGAATTTTGTTGCTTCAAGTCAACATTGCGAGAACTCAGTACATTTCTTCACAGGACACTACCTACCATCTGAAAGTACGGTCCTTTAGCCTTAAAATGCATCCAAAATGAATGCTGAATATCAAAAAACAACAAAGTTATGCTTGTTAGATGTTGGAAAAACTTTAAATGCGATTTTCTCGGCTTTCAAATTTTGGCGCAAGTTACCCTTATGATGCGGGGGGCCTCGTATAATCACGAGTCTAATATAAAAAGAGAGGTGGAAATTTCAAAATAAAGTGGTGTAAAATAAATGCAGTGTGTGATATGTCTCCCAGCCCCCTCAGAGATCGTGGCAATGTTGTATTTTCAAGGCCAACACTAAACTACTTGGAAAGGAGCTGCTATAATATAACAGCTCCTTTCCAAGTGATACTACCTATGAATCAGTCAACCTGAATTTTAGAAATTACTTTAGAAATCATTATCTAGCTTTTCCAGCAAAAAGCAGAAATGATTTTTTGGGTAACCATAGGGGGTACATATCTATGTTTATTATATAGAAATCACTTATTTTAGGGGTGTGCTAATGGTGCGCTACCTATGAACCCAGGCCGTAGTTACACTAGCATTTACCCTGCCTTTGAACATTGTTATCTGTGCTTTACTATATTGCTCTGTATATTATCGATCACTGTGCATCGTTCCCATTGCTGTTCATCACTATTATTGTTGTGATTTGGGCATGTTATTGAGTATACTGCACAGACTGTTCATTACCCAATACTACTGTGATATTGTGTACTAAAGTGATTGCTCCTCCCTCCCCCCTCTGTTCTTATCGGCTAACAGGTAGACCAGGTAAAAACTGTTAATTGTATTCCCTTATGTTTTTCACCTTATGATAATTATTTTTTTTATTGAAGAGTTGGGGGCATGTAAGGCAATAAAAAAATTGTGATATAATAATAAAAATAATTCTATATACGTTAGTATATTGGATAGGACCTAAAAGAAAGCGTAAGGCATGAAAGAATTGAAAAGGATCGCGCCTAATTAAAACCTGTTTTGCTCCACCCTTTTTAAGTGGGCGCCATCCGATTTCATTAGCCATTGGTGACTTTGGTGTAACAATATTGATAATTACTCAAAGATGATTAAAACATTAATATCATTGCTCATAAGATACTTTAAATAAGGGTGAACAAGTTGATTACAGTTCAGTTCTGTAAGTGCAAAAATTAAGACTTAAACGAACCTGAAACTCGTCGTATTTCTTGCACAAACATGCGAACTTAGCCGCGAGAGAAGATGTCCTGGAGAAATTACCTTCACGGCCCGATTTTTTATGTTATTCTTAATTATTGTTGACCGATGGACTTTTTTTCCTTTTTTGGTCTTTCTTTTCATAATATTATATTTTCTTCACTATTTCTTTCCATATTGTGTCGAAATAACAGTTCTCCTAATTTTGTTTTCTGAAGACTGTGTTGTACAACAGTTATTCCCAAGACGCGGTACATTGTCAAATTTTTTAATGACAGGCCGGGAAAGCGAATGTGTTAGCTATTCCGTGCATCTTAAAACGCCCTACAATAAACGCCTATAATAAACCTAGATATGTACCCCCTATGGTTACCCAAAAATTAATTTCTGTTTTTTGCTTGAAAAGCTAGATAATGATTTCTAAAGTAATTTCTAAAATTCAGGTTGGCTGATTCATAGGTAGTATCTTATATAGTGGCTCCCTCTCTAAGTGGCCTAGTGTCGGCCTTGAAAATACAACATTGCCACAATCTCTGAGTGGGCTGGGGGACATATAGTATCACATTTGGCATTTATTTTACTACACTTAATTTTGTTATGTCCACCGTATTTTAATATTAGACTTGTGATTATATGATACTGGATACAGTGGATAGGCAGATAAATAGAAATTTGAAATTCAAACATACTTTTTTTTTTATTGATTACATGTGGCAATTGTAAATGGAATGCAACTTAGAGAAAGGCCTCTGCTCCACAGCAAACGTGCCACGGTGAGTTTCAGACATCACTTACATAATATAACTTGCATTTACATAATTCTACACTTATTATACTACTTATTGTGCTCAAATATGTACAGTAGATGTAATTCACCGAAGCAATTTTTAGGAGTCGGCACTTGATGTGTGCTATTGGGTAAGGTGGTGATGGTGGCAGAGGTAGACAGGGCTCCCTCCCACCTGTGCCTCGCTGCTATATCTCGAATCCTCCTTTACCACCCGAGCGCCCACCCATCCATCCAACCCACCCCTACCTTTATGCTACTGCCCATCATTTTCTCATCACGCCCTCACCCACCCATATACTGTACACCCACAATGCCCTCCCAGTAGAGATCCCCATTTTTTTTTACTGCCCTCCTGAACTTTTCCCAGTGAGTTGATGATCACTAAACCGAACAATTGCAGATAGTTAAATAACTGTGGGTGTTAGAAATTTTAAATCAGTAAACTGATTATCGCTGAATGAATGATCGCTAAACAGCGCATCGTTGTATATGGGAAAAGTGTTGCTAATCTTCTTATTAGAAGCTGATACAGTATTTTAATTAGTAGCTAGCCTTTTGATAGCTTTTCATTGGTTCATAGCTAACACACTGTTGTTAGGAATAAGTTTACTGTACTGTATGCTTTAATAATGTGGACTTTTGCTAGCTCAATAATGTTGATATCCAACATCCAGTATGTGTTATTAAATAGATTTTCAGGGTTAATTCATCATTTCTTATTTGTGTTCAAATATACAAAGTGGTTTGATATATGCAATGAGTAAATTGAAATAAGTCTTACAAGGTACATTTTCATGAATTTTCATTACCATGAGTGAAGCTTTGGAAAAGTAAAAATTCATTATGGTAGAAATGCAATACTGTATAGTGTACAAAGTGTGGGGGACAACACTATGTTTTAATTTCCATAGAAAAAGCAAATTCAGTATGAAATAGTCACTACTGTACAGGAAAGTCATTAATTTTTATTGTACTGTTTAAGCTGTTTAACTCTCACAAATTGTAGCGACCTGTAACCTATAATTAATATCTAGTTTATTTTAATAAATACAGGATAACTATTTATTAGATACTATTCACATATAAGTCAATGATAATTATTAATCCCTCGTTTGCTACCAGATACCGGGATTCCATCGCCGGACGAGATTTTGAAAAACTTATGAATGAATCTGGTGTAAAAGAGGAACTGGAAGATATAGATGATTTTGATGATGCAGACTACAAACACCAGGGTATGTCTATGCCTTCTGTCCTAGGGATCATAGAAAAAGAAGAAAACATGGATGGTGAAAGAAATACAAGCTTGGGCAAAATTGGGGAAGATGGTGCAAGTATTGTCATTGCTCCAGACACATCAGGACCTCCATCAGATTTGCCAGTGTCTGTCAACATTGAAGTCGACTTCCAAGATGGTAGGATGGAAATTAATTTTCAGAATAGTGTATAAGGATCTTTTATCTACAGTAGACTCGCAACTTATGCGTATTTTTCTTACGCGATTTCAACTACACTATATGCTGATTACCCTGGTGGTTAGGTTACAATTTCCAATTTCAAACTCAAAATTTAAAAAACGGGTCAAAAGCGCGCCAAACGCTGGCCCGCCAAACGCTCCACCCCCGCCATCCCACCTCTCTGTCTTCAGTTGCCGCATGGGTATTGTCGGAGTAACACCTGCCTCTCATGTGTGTCAATTTAGTGCACTTAAACATCTCTCCTACTCGTTCATAATGACCAAATGTACAGTAGGATCTCATGTTTCGTGACTAATTGGTTCTGGTTTTCGTGTCGCGAAAGTTAAATCGTGAAATGAGTGACCTTGAAATAAATATAAATAAGCCTAGTCTATTCTGCAGTGTCACCCAAACCCCTCTATAATGACCTACAACCCACCAAGAAAATGACATTACAGTATTGTATTCATACATATTATATTGTACATATTGTTGATAACAATATTTATATACACATACTGTAGAATAACTTACCTTGATGGAATCAGTGAAATGCTTAACGGTGTTGGTTGATGGGTTCCGAGGCAGGGAGGGCTGGTTACTGCTTCCTTCCTGCTCCCTCCTCTACACCTCCTCTAACCTCAGCATCAAGTTCCTCAAAGTCTTGAGGTAGCTGTTCCACCAGTAAGTCACCCAACAATTCAATATCATCATCGGTGGTGCCATCATCATCTCGTAAAGCGATGTTTGCCAAGGCATTAACAGGCTGGGCCTTGCACAGGTACCAAGTAATAAGGGCCTGCTGACGAGCATTAACACGGGACTTGTACATGGCCTTATATTCCTCCATACCCTTATCAAGGGCAGAGCACATAAGGTTCGGAGGAAGAGGCCTGGTATCGTATTCTTCTAGCTGTTCACTGAGATGTGCGATGTTTGTCAGTCAGCTGGTGTGTTGTAGATTCACCAGGCTTAACGTCATACTCTTGTGTTGGTTGCTGTTCTTCTTGTTCTTCATCATCCTCTAACATTTTTTCAATTGTTGGTTGCTGCTGATGTTGACCAACGATTTCTTGCAAATCGTCAACCTGAACATCTAAAAATCCCGGTGCTGGGACTGATCGCGCTGCCTCCACCTTGTCCATTAGTGTTGCCGCCATGGACTGCCTCTCTCCATGTGCTGCGGTCTGTTCTGTCCCACTTATCTCTGAGTTAGCTAACAAAGGCTTCCATGCGTGTAGCACCGTTGCAACATTAATCTTACGCCATGCCTCAACAATTCTGTCCACTGCATTTTAATATTATATTTCTTCCAAAATTCACAAACTGATAAAACTTCACGGTTGCAGGGTGGTGAGGTGCTAGGAGTCAGGCCATCTACCATCTCCTCCTCCTCCTCCTCCTCCTCCTCCTCAGCTGGTAGAGCCTGGTCACCGTCATCGAGTTCTGCCTCAATTTGTTGTAACTCAACTAATGAGTCTGTCTGTTGACAAAAGTCTTTATACAGTGACTGATAGTAGAACAGTTTAACATTACTGATGAATTCGTAGTCAAGTGGCTGCAGAAGCGATGTGGTGTTAGGAGGAAGGAAGATATATTGTACATTAGGGTGGCATCCAATTAGAAACTTAGAGTGTCCAGGAGCATTGTCCATCACCAGGATCACTTTGAAGTCAATGTTGGGCGTCAGGAACAAAGTGCTTGTCAAACCAATCGGTGCATAAAGACATTGTAATCCAAGCTTTCTTGTTAGACGTAAAATAAACATTGAGCTGCGACATATTGGCATGACGGTAGGCTGTAGGACGGGTAGCATGGTTAACAACCAGGGGTTTCATCAAGAAATCTCCACTTGCATTAGCTGTGAATAAAACTGTAATCCTGTCTTTTGAAGTCCTTACACCCCTTGCCTGTTTTTCATCCTTGGCAATGAAAGTGGTCTTAGGTGAGCGCTTCCAGATAATGCCAATTTAGTCACAATTGAAGATCTGGTCTTGGCAATAACCACCTTCTTTCACAAGAGCTTGAAAGACAGGTGGATATTTTTCTGCTGCTATAACATCAGCCGATGCACTCTCCCCATGGTAGTGGGTAAACTTGACTTCATAACGCTTCTTAAAGGCAGTCAACCAACCAGCAGAAGCATTGAACGGTGGTGGAGAGTCAATACATTTCTTCTGTGGAACTGCAGCATAATAAACACGTGCCTGATGCCTTATCTGTGGCCCAGACAGGTCGCCTTGCTCACGGTTTCTTCTTTCCACCCACTTGTGAAGGTAATGTTCTGTGATAACTAACAGTAGGTTTCGTTGTGAAGTATCGGAGAACATCTTGCTACTTGAAAATCTTGAAAATATATTCACAGAAGCAATTAAGGCTTCCTTGTTCTTCTTAAGGGAACGTATGGTTGATTCAGGGCAGTTGAACCTACACATAATTTCACAGGTACAAGCACCACTTTTGATCTTTTCAAGCATCTCTCGTTTTATTTCAAGAGTGTATTTCCTCTTCTTGACCCCCTTACGGTAGTCATGCTTGGCTTGGGGCTTTCCTTGTTGACCTTCTCTACGGCCATCATTACCACCAGAACCGTTCCCAACATTTACATTACGCACTTCACTCATCGTTAATACACAAGAATCGCCAATACACAAGAATCGTTAATACACAAGAATCGCCAATACACAAGAATTGTTAATACACAAGAATCGCTAATACACAAGAATTGTTAATACACAAGAATCGCTAATACACAAGAATCGTTAATAGTTAAACAAGAATCTCGCAAAACGTAAGCACAATGGGTTATATAATCCAAGGTCACTGCACCGCTCACTCATTCAAACTAACTGCCGTTATGCTGTAAACAAAAAACACCATGACAATGCGCGCTGTCCACTCAACAATGACTCGCAAAACTGGTAATGAAAATCGCTATTCTTGAGATGCTGAAAATTTTAAAGGTGATGCGAAACATATGAATCATGAATCTAAAACTCACTAAACTTGAGATCCTACTGTACTAAATAATTATTAAAATTTTTATGTGTAGAGCAAACTATAGCATGTTAATATTAAACTTAATCACGATCTTACAAGAATCCCAGCAATGTAAGTTTTGTTCTCCCAGGACAGTTCAGTGACATTTTATAAGCGAAAAATTTAGTCACTCTAAAGAGTAAATAAAAAAAATACGCACTAGATCTTCGGCGCCAACTGTCACAATACATCACCTCACCTCCCCTTCCACCTCCCTCCCTCCCCCTTATGTTCCCAGCCAATTCTAGTGTATATGTACGTATATATAGTGATTTTAGGGCTATTTAGGGGATTTTTAGGAGTGTTTCTGAGTTTACGCATTTTTTGGCTTTACACGAGGTCCCAGGAACGTAACCCTCACGTAAGTTGCGAGTCTACTGTATTTGCTAAATATATGATTTAATTTCAGGAAAGTAATCTCTCTCTTTTCATTACTCCTTTTTTATGAATCAGAAGAGTGAGACTGGGACTAGAATAGAATATTACATTCCCACATTTTAAAAGGTGATATCCTACATTAGCTTAATTTAAAACTTATCACTACAGAACTGTTCGATATATTAAACTGTTTAACTTCAGCCAATGGTGAGATCATTGTTTCAGCTTCTCAGCAGGCTTAATCTCCTCGATATTTTTGTTTTGTAAAGCAGATCCAGATCCAGTTAGGCATGGAATGAAAGCTTGCATGGGAAGCAATGATCTTGATCATGGGCATCTGCAAGGGGTGCACTTGTACCCCCCTCCCCTTGGAAAATGAGAAATGTTCTTTTTTCCGCAGTCCTTGTTCACAATACAGGCAGTCCCCGACTTACGACAGGGTTAGAGACCCAAATCCTGGTCGAAAATCGAATTGGTCGAAAATGCCAAAATAATACATAGAAAATCTAAAATGGGTGTCTCTTTTTCTTCTCAGCACCACAAAACTCTTACTTTTAAGCTTGCCAGCTATTTTAAAGGGAATTACAAAGTAAAATTATGTCAGTACACAGCGCAATCACTAACGTCGGGACTCGAAAATACGTAATTTGGTATGACTGGGGCGGTTGTATGTCCGGGTGGTCGTAAGTCGAGGAGTACCTGTGTGTGTATGATATAACATGTTTATAAGTAAACTTTTTGTTCTTTAATGTTCTCACAACGGTCACTTGTAAGCCTACCAGACAATTCCTCTCATTGAATTACGGTGTCATTGGCAAGAGCGACAACTGGTGCCTGGGCCTGGCTGGCTGACTCGGGTAAGACCATCATGATGTCAACATCACAGAGGAACCATGTATACCTGTGGTTAAGTCATGATGAAGCCACAATGACAACTTATCAAAACTGACTGTACATTATTTTACAGTTAGTTAAATTAGCAATTTTCAGAAATACTTTGCATATTGTAACATAGCTTATGGATAACTAATTGTAGGTTCTTTTTTCAATTTTTGAAAACTAGTACTGTATAATATTTGGAGAATTGCATAATTTGTATAGTACAGTACAATACAACAAATAATTATAAACAATATAATTTTTGATAATACAAATACAGTAGAATCCCAGTTATACCATATCTGGGCAGCTGGTAGATTCAACTAACCAGCACCAAAATTAAATAATAATAAAAATTCCTCTAAAAGCAGTGAGAATCATAAATTTGAATACTGCACGCAACAGGAAATAGCTGCCTTATTCATTGCTATGATAAACAATAAAATCAATACATAGCATATCATAAAATACAATATTTGTAGCACATATTTTATGGACAAAAAAAGTAGCTCCTTCCACACTCAAACCATTCTCTGATGCCACACAGTTCAAGCAGTCAACCAGCTGAGTCACAGATTTGTGGCTGCCGTGCTAGATGTGTGTATGCTGTGCTGTTATGTAGGAAGGGAGTGAAGCTATGCAGTTATAACCCAGTAATCCAC